CTCTGTGAACTTGTTTTTAGAACACTTTGAGTATTATACTATTTACAAAATGCTATATAGCTGTTAGGCTGAACAAACTCCATTTGCTTTTTAGTAGAATCCAATTGCCAATTAACACTAATATTCAAATCAATATTAATATAAATAATGATATATAGGGAACTCTAAGCCTTTTGGGTGCCATAAACGCCTTCTCTGAGGAATGTTTTAAAATATATTAAATAAATAAGATTTAAAAAAGAAACTATGTTGAAATATAATTATCAGAAATATATATATATTTTAAGTTTGTGACCCTTAGGTTTAAGAATTCCTGTGTTAAAGAGCTCTCTTCCAACACTTTAGCCATCAGGAAATGAAGGGGTATTGAAGCAGCTGGCCCTTACAATCCCTTTCTGCTCTCAATCTACTCAATCCCATAATTCCCCCAGACCCTTGGCACCTTCAACTCCAGACTTTAGGGAGTTGGAGGGGAAGAAAAGGGAGGAAGATAAGGAAGTAAGCTCTGTATCTCCTTAGAAGTTAGGGAGCTGAATAAAAGCCCATCCTCTCCCCAACTCTAGCCCCTGCTTCCAGGGGAAATCCAGGGGGCTCCCCACCTTCACTCCCCTTCTCCACAGCCACTAATTTAGCAGAACAGAGCTTCAGAAATGTACTTCTCCTGGTAGAATTTCTCCCTCCAATTCAATATAGTATAATTCAGGCCTCGGGTGCTGGGACCTCTGGGGAATTCAAAAATAGGAGGCATGGAGGTAAAGTACTGCAGTTGCCCCCAACACACACACAGTCTTACACCAACACACTAACACCATCATTTCCAGCCCTTTTTCTTGCTTGTCACTTTTGTTTCCTGTTTGTTTTTTCACTCGAGGGGTGTTTCCAGACAAACACCTCCTGACTCACCCAGGTGCCAGTGAGTCAGCTTCCCGTCTTTTAACATCAGGACCTTCAGCTAACGTGGAGAGAGACACAAGAGAATCCCAGAACCTCAGAGGCAGGGGTGCCAGGGGCCATCTCGTCTAACCTGGAAACAAACAGGAAACAGTGCAAGTGCTGGAACATGGCATCTACCCTTGTTGGGTGATGTCTGGGGAAGGGGAACCCACCACCTCCCATGGCACCCCTTCTTATTTCTGAATAGCTCTAGTTGTTAGAGAGTTCGCTTTTTCCTTCAACCAAGTTTCTCTCTGTTGCTCTCTGTATCTTCTACGGGTTCTTCAGTCTGCCCTCTGGAGCTAAGCAGAAGATGGCAAATTCTTCCAGGTGACTGGTCTTCAAATACTTTCAGACAGCTACGTGTTCCAAAAAGTTTTCTCTTTTCCAGGCTAATTATGGGAACCCAGAGTTTGGGGATAAGCAAGTCTAAACCTTGCACTTATTTGTTTTCTCTGATATGTAGATGGACATTTGGGGATATGATGATATGGGATAAATGAATGGAGAAAAAGAAGGAAGGGAAGGAAGGAAGAAAGGAAGAAAGGAAGGAAGGAAGGAAGGAAGGAAGGAAGGAAGGAAGGAAGGAAGGAAGGAAGGAAGGAAGGAAGGAAGGAAGGAAGGAAGGAAGGAAGGAAGGAAGGGGAAAAAAGGAATAACGAAAGGAAGGAAGGAGAGAGAAAGCACCTATTAAATACTTTCTATTTGCCAAGCACGATGCTAACGCCTGGGTACACCAAAAAACAAAAAATGGAAGACGGTTGTTATCCTCGTGGACCTCATGTTCTATTTGGGGGAGACAACACAATGGGGGTGTCCTAGTCTGGCAGATATTGAAGTTGTCTTATGAAACTGCAGGAATTCAATTCAGTAAAGCAGTTATTAACCTTGCTTTGTGGAGGCAAGAGGCAAAATGACAATGGCCTTGAATGAGGAGGAGCTTGGTTTAGATTGGGGTGGGAACCTGCGGCCTCGAGGGCACATGTGGCCCTGTAGGTCCTCAAGTGCATCCCTTTGACAGAATAGGATTTGTGTTGCGAAGTTTGGATTCAGTCAAAGGGCCTCTTGAGGACCTAGAGGGCCACACATGACCTCAAGGCCACAGGTTCCCCACCCCTGATTTAGGTAATGTCAAGTCTAACTCCTATTGGCAAAGTGACCCAGGGTAAATTACTTAACTTTTCAATGCCCCCCCCAACCCCAGTAACTCCCTAAAACTGTAGGTTGCAGACAGAGCAGGGGGCAATCTGCATTGGTAGAGGGAGCTTCCATACCCAGAATTCCTTCTACCAATGAAACCACAGATCTGGTTTTTGTTTTTGTTTTTGTTTTTTTAAGTGCTAGTGGTTGCAGCTGCTAAGAAAACAAAATGAAAACAGCCCCTCCCATCAAGGAGTTTACATTCTATGACATACCTACAATCTAAGTAAATAAAAGATACAGACCAAGTCATTTCTTGGAGGGAGAGATCAGGCAATGCCCTGTGGAAAAGGTAGCCCCTGAAGTGACCTTCCTGCAGAGCTTGGGTTCTCATGTACATATGAAGATCATACAGGGTGTCCCAAAAGTCTTGGTGCAGTTTTACACCTAAATAGCTTTGAATTTTTTTTAAAACATCTTTATTAAGCTTAATAGCTTAGAATGGAAGAGAGATTTTGGGGAGACTCTGTATAGAGAGGTATGAGCCGGTAGTTTATTAGATCAAAGTTTCAAACCCAAGGGTTTGCCAATTTCTCAAGCCATTATTTGGCTTCACAATCTTCCCAAGAACAAAGAGTAATCGGGAAATTATAAACGAGTGATTAATATTTAACCAGTTCTCAGACTCTTCCAAAATCCATAAAACCTTAAATCTTCATTAAAGATAATTGAAAAATGATTGAAACGAAATCCAGAAAACGTTTCCAACATGTTTTGCTCTTCCTCTCTCTCTCTCTCACACACACAGCATTCACTGCTCCCACATAGAAATCCATTTTCTCCAAATAAACATTGTCACTGCTTAAGCTGGGAAAAACTTTTAAAATGAAACCATAAAAAGATAGCACACAAAAACCATCAGAGTGAGAACTTAAAAAAAAATCTTTTTTTAATTGTCAATTATTCATCCAATACTTAATACTTTGTAGAGCGGCAGGATCATTATCTCGTGTCTATAAAGTCGTTCACTTATAAATCATTCCCTTCGCTTTCCAGGGAGCAAGAGTAATACAGCTACCTTCGTGCCAGCAGGAGCAATGCAGAGCTAATGAGCTTATTGGCTTACTTTCTTGACCTTGCTGAGGTCAAGTAGTCTGGTTAGGTTATCTTGAGCAAATTATGGGCGGCAGGGTGATTCAGTGGATAGAATGCTAGGTCTGGAGTCAGAAAAACCCTTCTTCAAATCCAGTCTCAGATGCCTACAAGCTATGGGACCCTGGGCAAGTCACTTAACTGCTGTCAGCCTCAGTTTTCTCATCTATAAAATGGGGATATTTTATCCTCTGCTTCCCAGGGTTATTGCAAAGTTGAAATGAGATAACAGTGTTTTGCATAGTACCTTGCAAACCTTAACACTTTCTTATTGATGTTAGTTGCTGTTATTACTTAGATAAGCTGCATGCTTTCCTAGCTTCGGTAGTCAAACAAAAGATCACTCAGTCAACAAGCATTTATTAAGCTCTTACTGTGTACCAGTATGGGTGAGGTAGGGATAGAGCCGGCCTTGAAGTCAGGAAGACCTGGATTCAAATCCTGCCTCTAGCACATCCTGTATTTGTGATCCTGTGGGACCTAACTCCTCAGTGCTTTGGGCAAGTCTTGAATGCTGTGTTTGCAGGAGTACTGACTTGCATTGGTGAAGAGAACGTCCTGGGAGTTCTCCCTGTACTAAGAAATTACAGATTCAGATGAAACATGCCTGCCCTCAAGGGGTTTACAGATGAAGTCAAATCTATTAAGCAACAATGTGCAGCGGCCAAAGGCAACACTGATTTAGAATGTAAAGTAACCCAGTCCTAGCCCGCATATGCTCATGAATCTAGAGCCAAGAGACACCTCCGATGTGTCCAGTCTGACCCCATGAGGCCTGAGGCCCAGGTCGTAGAAGTGGTGAACATCACAGACTGCATTGAAACTAAAGTCCTCTGTCTTCAGACCCCACACGCTGCCTCATTTGTTAAACATAATGAGAGAAGATGGTGAATAGCATTGCCAGACGCATTGTGAGGATCAGTGGGAATCTGGGAGTGAGGGAGGGGGAGCGAGCACGCAACAGGGCAGGTAACATCTAGTCACCCCAAATTATCCGTAGGTAAGACTGAAAAGACAATAAAATGGGGTTGTCGCAGTCCTTTGATGATTTGTGATTGTCATCAGTGCCTGGAGACTCACCACCACTGAATTCTAAAACCCAAGTCCCCGAGGTGCCAAAAGAAAAATGAAATGGACTTTTAGAATAGGGCAGCCTGGCAAAGCAGCCACAAAGAGGAAATCTGTGCTAGAAGGGATGTGATTTGGGTAGCATTGAGGGCTTAGCTCTCTAGGCGTTTAGCTCTATGGCTGAGCTATGGTCAGGGGCTGTTTTTGGTTTGGGGTTTTCGTTTGTTTGTTTGTTTTGTTTTGGGGTATCCCTAGTGCTTAGTACAGCGCCTGGCCCATGGTAGGTGTTTAATGAGCACTTGACTGAAGGCACCAAAATATTCCTAGGTGCCTGTGTGGCTGTAAGCAAGTCACTTAACCTTGCTGGGCCTTCTTTCTAAAATGAGAGGGGGGTGTACTAACTGGCCTCTGAGGTATTCTCCAGCTTTAAATATTTGATTAGAAATAAATTTTATTTTAGAAATAATATTAGAAATATTAGAAATAAATTTTATTGCATAAAAAAGAGGGGACCGAAGGGGCACCAATAACTTCTGAACCAGTTTAGAAACCCACTTTTCACCTTCATAAAATTCTTATCAGAATCTCATCTGTACACGTGTCCAAGGTGACCTCGATGGCACCATGAGATGAGAACATTCAGCTTTCACAGATTGCTTTGGCTTTTAGAGATTTTTTGTTTCTTTTTCTTTTTCCTTCTTTTACAGTAGACCACGGCTTCATGGTCACACAACTAAGAGGCGAGAGGAATAGAAGATAAGCCCCTCAGTATTTGTTGAGTACAGTCAACTACAAAGATACATGTGCTTAGTAGGTAAAACTCACCAGAAGTCTCTCCTGATGTTCAGATCATAGCAGACTCCTCGACAGAAGCAACGAGAGGGTGGTTACTGAGCTTGTGACTCTAACTTTTAAGCAAGGCATAAAAGAAGGTAGGCATGGTTAGATGCATGCTTGCCTACAGTGATTGCCGCCATTTTGAAGGCTGCAGCGTCTACCGGGAAGGGAATTCTAGGCAGTGTGATCTTCCTTTTTTTTTTTTTTTTGCTTTTAGGCAATTGGAGTTAAGTGACTTGCCCAGGGTCACGCAGCTAGTATGTGTCAAGTGTTTGGTCTGAGGCTGGATTTGAACTCAGGTCCTCCTGACTTTAGGGCCAGTGCTCTATCCACTGTGCCACCCAGCTGCCCCCTTTTTTTCCTTTTTTTTTTTTTGCAGTATGATCTTCCTAAATGCTCCTCATGGCTGATCACATTGTGAGGGCAGAGAAACTATATGGCCTGACCAAGTCATTTTTTCATGTGCTTACTAGTCAGAACCAGGAGGACCTGGGTTCAAATCCTATCTCAGAAACTTAGCTTTGTGACCCAAGCCGAGTCCCTTGCCTTTTCTGAGCCTCCTCTCATCTATAAAATGAGGAAGTTATACTAGAAGAGGGTCTCTTTGCCTTATTAGCATCATGGATCCCTTTGGCAGACCAGTGAAATAGAAATGGACTCTATTCAGAATAACATTTTTAAATATTTAAAGGAAATGCTAACCTTCAGTTTGAGGTTAGTGACAGTAAAGATGTATTTTTTTCCCATGTAGGCTTACAGATCCCCTAAAATCTTAACCCAAGGCTGAGAACCTCTGGACTAAATGGTCTCTGAGGTCCCTTCCAGCCTCCAAACATATGACACTATGATGCTTATGACTATCACAATGCTTACTGAATGATAATACAGAATTATTCAAAAGAGATATATAATCCACACTGGAAACAGTGACAATACAATAACATGGATGGAAAACAGAAAGTTTTAGAAGATTATCCCAAGAATGAGGACATTTGTTGAAGGCTGGCTGATAAAAAATCCCACTGGAAGAGCAGAGATGTCAAGCGTCAAAGGCTGGGACTAAAGTTAAAATTATGTGATGTTTAGTAGCTGTGTGACCTGGGTAACCTCTCAGAGCCTCAGTTTCCACCTCTGAAGGTTGCTTTTAGCTCCAAATCTAGGATCTTCTGAATTTTCCAGTATCACAACTAATATATGTCACAGTTGGGGGGACGTGAATCCAGGTCCTCTTGATTCTGAGAGGACTAATTGTCATTTACATTTTATTAAAATCTGTTTCTTTTTCATATCATGTATATAGGTATACATCTTTAAATTTAGTAAGGTGAAAAAATGCCAGTTGGGCAAACTTACATACAGTTGGATGGAGTGTGCCACACTCTTCCCCCAACCACCAATGTTTACTGTAATATGTATAGCATAAATTGAACCTGTAGGGCAATCTTGAAGGAAAAAAAAGGCAGAGAGGGGCAGCCCCACCTACCTTGCCCTTGGTTTTGGTGGGGTTTTAATGAATGGACAAATTGCTTACCTGTCCAAGGGCTATCCAAAAGTCAGCTTTCAGGGTTGATTTCTAGTGCCTCATGTAAAATCCATGAATAATTCATAGTCCAGGAATGTTGCTGGTAGGACCCATTTGTTTTCCAGCATGTGTGTCAACAGTGTAAAAAGCAGATCAGCTGTCACTGTTTGGGAGCTGGATACCCTTAGTTAAAAATGGCAGCTCTCCTAGACACACAGTCCCCCAACAGTGCATGCTGTGATTTGCTTTTTAAACACACATCAGTGTTTTGGCTGCAGAAACTCCTCTCCAGCTTGTGGTTCATGGAGAGAATGCTATCAGTCAACAGCGTGTCGATGTGGTGGGCAAGGTTTCGAGGTAGAGAGATGGACCACCCCACGAGAATCTGGAGGCCTGAGATTACTGTGCTAGGGTCGGCTCTTCCAGATTAGGTGTGGGATCCTCGGCAAGAAAAGAGCTTAATTCAGTGGTGGGCTTTCCCCCACCTCCTTTGGAAAATGGTGATAAGAATAATGATTCCCTCTTTATACTGTGAGTTAAATAGTATTTGTCAAGAAATGGGAAATTCTTGGAGTGAGATCCATATTGCTACAAGATAAACAGGTGTTTCTGTTCTGGACAAATGTTGGATTCTCAACAAGAGGAAGAAAATTAATATTTTTCTCCACACCTCTGTGTGGCAGAGTGCCTTGAGTAGATCGCAGCTTGGACTGACTTTCTGAAATTAGACAAGAGCTTTTTGCCAGTGGGATGGAGCAAGGTTTAAAACTTTCCTCAAGATGCTCATGACTTTGGAATTTTTTTTTTATGTTTTTAATGAAGGATATACCAAATCAGGACCAGCTGTAACTGTGACTGACCCACTTTACAGTGTTAGCACACATGCCTACAAAAAAAAAAAATCAGCATATTGCCAAGAAAATTCCTGAACTATGTAGGATGTAGCAGTAGTTAACTGTGAAAACTTTTGTTGTTTTTTCAAACTACTCTTGGATATGAGCCTTAGGTCATTTTTAGCACTAGCTGGCAAAGCCTCCTCCTCCTTGCCTTCAGGCTCCTCTTCAAATCACATCATACCTCAGTGCTCAATTTCAGAGCTCCCCAAAGCACAGTTATCCCCCAAGTCTCACTGATTAGACACTGTATGATTGACAAAGAATGTTTATTTTATATATGTACATATATACACATGTATATGCACATAGACTCTATGTACACACATGTGTAAACACATACACACATGTATATATAGTATGCATTTATTCCAAGGATCTTACTAAGTTACATATATACATAATATATAGATATATTCATTGTATACATATAAACACAAACTATATATATATGTGTGTGTGTGTGTGTGTGTGTGTGTGTGTGTGTGTGCATGTACGTATGTGTAGATGTATACACACTATGTTAGCTTATTCAGTTCCTTGAAACAAACCTCTGAGGTAGATAATGGAAGTATCATTAATCTCATTTTCTGGCCTTGAAAACTGAGGCTCATAGACATTGTGACTGGAATGAGATCACACAGTTTAGTAACTGGCAAAGCCAGGACTCACAAGTCTTTTGATAGCCAAAACGTTCACTCATTTCATTATGTCACAGAACAATTCTTTTCTTTTAAGACTTACAACTGACTGAGCAATCTTCTATAATCTCCGGTTTTGTGGTGAAGGCCCTGGGAGACAGAGATTTTTTTTTTTTGACTCCCATAATTTCCGGAGCAAGAAATAAGCTTCTAGCAGTCCCAGGAGGGTGATATAAACTGACTGTGCTACTCATTCTCATTGGTGTCCGTGCTGCTGAGGAGAATGGTCATTTACATCTGAACCAATGAGGCTGCTTTCTAAAAGCACTCCGCTGGACAGAGTCAGACAAAGAGTAGCAGAACACTGAGTTTGGGTTCGTGAAGACCAGGGTTCAAATCCTGTCTCAGACGCTTTCTGTGTGACCGTGGGCAAGTCACATGTCTCAGTGTCCTCATCTGTCAAATGGGAATAATTGTAGTGCTAACTGTACAAGGGATGTTGTGAGGATCAAATAAGACATGTCAAGTGCTTTGCAAACCTTAAGCTTAAATGCTATTATAATTATCATTTACTATTATTATTTAAAAGTTATTTTTTTCTCTCACAACCCCAATTAGATAGAATTTTTCCTTTTTCCCACTCTATTTGCACCTTCCTTTTGACACTTAGTGTGTCTGGCATTGGATTAGAAGTATTTTTGCATGTTTTTGTCTCCCAGATTTTACAGATTTTTCTTTTGGATTATAATCTCCAGTGTGCAGTCTGTCCTCCAGACTATGTCTATGGCTGATTTCATACTCATCCCTTTCATGCACTCTCAAATCCAGACCAACATACCTCCTAGCTCCTCCCCAAACCTGTCTTCCTTTTTCCTCTACGTCAATTGTCCCCCATGCCTTACCATTTCTTCTTTTTAGAATCCCTACCTGGATTCTACCTTCCAAGACAAACCCAGGAACTATATTGAAAACAATTGCAAAACGCTTTTCACACAAATAAAGTCAGATCTGAATAATTGGAAAAATATCAGTTGCTCATGGGTAGGCTGAGCTAATATAATAAAAATGACAATTCTACCTAAATTAATTTACTAATTCAGTGCATACCAATCAAACTACCCAAAAATTATTTTATAGAACTAGAAAAAATAATAGCAAGATGCATCTGGAAGAACAGAAGATCCAGAATATCAAGGGAACTAATGAAAAGAAATGTTAACTAAGGTGGCCTAGCCATACCAGGTCTTAAATTGTATCGTAAAGCAGCAATCGTCAAAATTACTTGGTACTGGCTAAGAAATGGAGCGGTGGATCAGTGGAATAGGTTAGGTATGCAAGACACAGTAGTCAATGACTATAGTAATCTACTGTTTGATAAACCCAAAGACCCCAGCTTCTGGGATAAGAACTCACTATTTGACAAAAACTTCTGGGAAAACTGGAAAACAGTATGGCAGAAACCAGGTTTAGACCAACATCTTCCAATGTATACCAAGATAAAGTTAAAATGGGCACGTGATTTTGATATAAATGGTGAAACTATAACCAAATTAGGAAAGCAAGAAATAATTTACCTGTCAGATCTATGGAGAAGGGAAGAATTTATGACCAAACAAGAAATATACAACATTTTGAAATGCAAAATAGATAATTTTGATTACATTAAATTAAAAAGTTTTTTGCACAAAATAAGCCAGTGCAACCAAGATTAGAAGGAAAGCAGACAGTTGGGAAACAATTTTTATAGCCGGTGTCTCTGACAAAGGCTTAGTTTCTAAAATATATAGAGAACTGAGTCAAATCTATAACAATAACAGATCATTCACCAATTGATAAATGGTCAAAGGATATGAACAGATGAAGAAATTAAAGCTATCTATGGTCATATGAAAAAATGTTCTAAATCACTATTGATTAAAGAAATGCAAATTAAAATAGCTCTGAGGTGCCACATCACACCTGTCAGGTTGGCTAACATGACAAAACAGGAACATGATAGATGTTGGAAAAGATGTGGGAAAATTGGAACACTTAATGCA